GTCGGCGGCTGGCCGTTCCCAGGGCCTCGCCTCTAATTGCCCAAAAGTGCAGCGACGGCTCTTGGCGTGAATTTCCGCCGCGCCTTCGCGCAGCCCCACGCCGCGGCCAGCGGGGCCGCCCAGTCTGCCAGGCATCGAGGGGCGTCGTTCTAACTTCGTTTGCCGCGCCAGGGGCGATAGCGGGGCACTATCGCGCTTGCGAGGATTGGTCGTTTCCTCGCGTCGCGCCCGGCAACGCCTTCAACGCGGCAATTTCTTGCGTTTGCTTCGAGGCGCATTTTCTCCTTCGCGGCCTTCGGGGCTTCATGGGAGGACCTTGGGCACTTGGTCAGAGCGGCCAATGTCCTCGCGCGGTTCATTGGGGGCGAGCTGGCCGGCGCACCGCCAGTCGAGAAGTGCCTCTCGGTGGCCAGCAGCGCGGCGCTAGACAGGAGCATTCGGAATGCTTTAGGAGCTCGCGCAAGAGAACGTCAGCAATCTACACGGTCTACTTGCGATCAGATGGCAGCGCAGGAAGTCGGCCAACGCCGCGGGCGACACCGCCACGGCCACGCGGAGGGCCCGCAGGATCCAGACCACCCGTGCTCGCGCCTGTCACATTCGTCAACTGGTCCAGTCTGCGCGGCCGCGGGCCCGCGAGGTCGTCGCGCGACGCGTTCTGCCCGCTGGGGGGCGCGCGTCAGCAGCGGGCGCCCTGTTCGATGCAATGAGACGGTTGGCGCCGCGCGCCACCGCCCCCGGGCCGCAAACGTAGAAATGCCGCGTCGGCGAATGATGATTCCAAGACAGACAAGTGGGGTTTGGCCGGCTTCGATGGGCAAAACTGCCCCCTGGGGCGCGATGATTTTGAAGCTGAAGGGCAGCGGGGCTGAGATCTCATGCCAGCTAGGATCAACGCGCGCTTCGCTTCGAGGTCCCGTCTCAGCGGCGGCGCACTGACGGGGCCCAGCGAAGTTCCACGGGGCCGTTCGCGTCGATCGCGCGCGTGGGCGAGCTGCCCAGCGCGCGCGACGCCCCCCCCCCCCGCCGCCGTCGCCAAGTTATTGGGGCAGCCGCGCCCCGCCGGCGAATTGAAGGCCGCGCTGGGCTCCGACGCGACGCACCCGCAATGGATTTAGCCACCCGCGACAAGGGCGCGCTTTCATCGGCCCCCGCGCCTGGTCTGACCCGGGCCTTTTTTATTTTTCCCGTCTGCCGAGGAGTATTGCATCAATCAGCGCCGACGAAGTACGTCAGGGGCATGTCTTCGGCGCACATGTAGCACCCGCGCGGGGCATTCCGGGGCCCGGCGAGACATGGCGTGAAAACAGGGCCAGCAAATTTCGATTTAGCTGCCGCGTCTGCTCGTGGAATTGCCAGGGAAGGGCCCCCCCCAGGTTGTGTTTCAGGGAGCGCGCGTTTCTTCCAGCCCCCGCAGACACCGCGGGCGGGGGGGGGCGCTCCGGTTTTTTAGTTCTGCCGCAGACGCTTTCCGGAAACTCAGCGCCTCGAGCGGGGCGCCCGGCGGCCGCGCCAGACCCGTGGCCGCCAGCCCCTATCGCTCGGGCGCGCGCATTCGGGACTCGGGAATCCGCCGCGCGGCCATGGGAAACGACAGGCATTTCTTGTCAAAGGCCATCCAAGTGAAGGCCCAGAGGCACGAATGACATCATTCCGTTTGAAACCAGTCGGGCGCGCGAGTTGCCGGCGAAAGCGGCCTCTCCAATGCGCCCATCATTCGATCGTAATGTTGTGGCCAAGTGCACCAACAGCAAGAGAGGTCCGCTGCAGTTTCGCGCTTCACCTCGCAGATACTTCCTCTTCCGTCCGAGACACAGCCGAGGGGATCGGATGGAGAAACCCGAAGGTTTTCGTCATTTCGTCAGTGTTTTTCATGACTGGCAGCGTGCTGAGCACGTTTCTTGGTGTTGTGGCGTTTGCTTCTCTTTCAGCCACTCGGACGGGCCTGCCGTCCATCGAATAATGCGGGGACCCTTCGCCGGTTGTCAACGGACGACTCGTGATGGAAAGTTGTGGATGGGCAGAAGCGTCGGGTCCAGGGCCTTTTCCCTCTTGGACTCTTTCATCCATGCGAGCACTGTCTGGTTTCTTTTGTCATTATTGTTTCGGGCGTCGCTTGCGGAGATGAAAAGAGCGGGCGCTGTGGGACATGGCTTGAGGATGGTCGACTTGGGAGGAGGAGGAGGAAGATGAGGAGGAACACCAGAGTAAAATAAATATGCATCAGCGACTCTTGAATACACCATCCCGTCCCAAATCCCTTCCCCCCACGCCCCCACAAATCATTTATTTTTACAGAAGGCGCCGATTCTGAAATACCAACGCAGTTGTGCCTTTCATTTGGGCGAGCGGCCGCTCTGAAAAACATGTGTGTGTGCGTTGCGTTTGGCGGGCGCGCAATCGCACCCGATAGAAACAATGACCATACAGCTCACGTCCATTTATATTTTCCGAAGAAAAACCGGCTGCCCCATTCCGTGTAACTGGGTGCCCCAGGTCAGTTGCGACAGTGATATTCGACAAGTTCCCATGCGGCAGCAACGTTGGGAACGAGGAGCAAGTGTTATTGATCCGTGCGCCGCTATGTGCGTTGAACTTCCGCCGGCGACAGCTCCAATTTGAAACAGGTCGTCTTGTATCCAGCAAAACATTGCAAATATAAGATTGCCCGTGGCACGGAAGCGATAACATATTTTTAATGCTGAAGATCTTGCAGTACATGTCAGACGACTGATTGCGGCGCCAAGGCGAGAGCCCTTGTTTGACAAGGAAGCGCCGTCCATCAGCCAAAGCAGCGCAATTTGTTGTAACGAACTTTCGCGGCGCTGACACCGATATCATCGTTTTGAAATAGACACCCCGTGCAACATATAAATGTGTGCAACCATTGAAGACTCGTGCGCGCGACGTTAGATGGCAACGGCCACGTTGTGGAAACGCCCCCATCCTTGCTTGAAGTTGCTGCGTAATTTTCAGACGAAAGTGTGCGGCGGTTTGGCGAACATCAAATAGTGAAAAGAGACGCCCTCCATCCCGTGAGTGCGTTGCAGCTATTTCCGGCGAGAGCGCAAGGAGAAGGAACGACCCCACTCCATCGGTGGAATTGTTGCAAATTGTTCCGACGAATTTGCGCGGCGCGGGGGCGAGAGCTGCATTTTGAAAAGGAACCGCCCTCCATCCGTGAACCGGGGTCAAGCTTTTCAGACGAGAGTGCGGGGTACGAAGGCGAGTGTTTTTTGTTAAGGAACCGGTTGGCTGACGAATGTGCGTGGCGCTAATGCGAGTGCCGCATACTGAAAAGGAGCAGCCTTCCATCCGTGACAATGTTGGACACTATTCAGGCGAACGCGTTCGGCGCCGACGCGCATGTTGATAAGGAACCGCCCCCCACCCGCGAAGGTGTTGTATATTTCTCAGCCGGATGCTAAGGCGAGAGCCGCATTTTGTTCAAGAACCGTTCTCAACCCGTGGAACGGTTGCATTTGTTTCAGGCGAAAGTGCGCGGCGTCAAGGCGAGAATTGCATCTTGAAGCGGTACAAAGTACTAAGATGAATGTGCCCGGCATTGACGCGAGAGCCGCATTGTGAAATGGAACCACTTCCATGCGCGCATTTGTTGCAAATGTTTCAGACGAATGCGCTTGGCGTTGAGGCGAGAGCCGCATTCAGTTAAGGAACCGCCCCTCATCCGTGAAGTTGTTGCAGACATCAAGTTCCAGAGTCATGAATGCTGGGGGGTCTCAGACGACGCGCCCGGCCCGCTCTTCTGACACATTTGGGGGTGCGACAGGGAGGAGTTAATTATCCAGATGTTTGTGGCAAGTCCCGCCACCGTGCCAGTCCAGCATGTTTGGTGGCGACGACTATTCGAGGAGTCACGTGTGACATTTCAGGCTTCCTGAAGGTTCTGGGGGCCTTTTGAGGAGTTCTTGGGGCCCATATCAGCGCCTTGGGGGCGCCTCGAGGGCTCCTGGGGGCTCCTTGGGCCGTATGGGCGCTTTCAGAGTCTATCTCGGGAAGCTCTGGGTCGTCTTGAGGCTCTCTTGGGGACCTTGAGGGCCGGATGAGCACCTTCTTTGGCCGACTTGCGATCCTCTTGGCCCGCTCTTGGGCCATTTTGTCACCCTCTTCGGTAGTCTTGGGGTGCCTCTTAGTGCCTTCATGGGCCGTCTGGCTGTCTTGAGCCGACGAAAGCTCGAAATTGCAAGAATTGTGTTGGAGGCTCTATTGGTGCCTTCTTGGGCCGTCTTGGAGACCTCGTCGGCCGCATCGAGGCCATTCGAGGCCGTCTCGGTGGCCTCTGTTTCAATCTTGGCGGCCTAGGTGGCCCGCCAGGTCCGTCGTAGAGGCCACGTTGGGTGCTTGGGACGCCATGGAGTGCACCAGGGAGGCGTCTTGGCCGCCCAGGGAGCCCCAGGAGTAGGGTTGGTGCATGCAGCTCGGTGCTACACGAGAGGTTGGAGTGTTCTTCAGAAGACTACAGAAAGTTGTCCAGACAGTATTTGGCATTCTTGCCAGGAGGCACGGTGGCGGATAAGGAAAAGGGATACAGGAGGGGAATCATGAGGAGCGGGACTATGAGGAGAAGGATGAGGGGCGACAGCGGGAGAGGCAAGAGGACGAGGGTCGTTGCCGGAGTCTATCTGAGGTGATCCTCACCCACGGCGCCCCCTGTTTCTTCAAGCAGTGTTGGAGCCTCCTGGGGCCCTCTGGGCCTTGCGATTGCGAGTGGTGTCTCTGGAGGCCATGAGCATCATCCCCTCCCTCTGGTAATTCTTTCGGCACCGTGGCCCAGGGGCGCCCTCGTCAACTCAGGGGCAGCGATAGGGGTGGGATGGTCTCGGGGTGGGGGGGACATCGAACCTCAAACGCCCATTCGTCGCCTATCGGAGCCAAGGCCCCGCACTCCGCCCAGGAACGTGCGGGTTCGCTATCGAGGGCCTTTCGCCGATCCATCGGCGGTGTATCACCGATTCCAAGTCAATGTTTCACCTCCTGAGCCAGTCCACCCGACGCCTCGATGCGAGGCTAGGCCGCCCTTTGCGGGTGTGCGGCCAGCCCAGGCCTGCGCGGGCGCGAAGGGGCAGGGGTAGACCCCCTCGCGGTGGGGCGGAAGTGGCATTCACTCCGCCCACCAGTGATTTGCTGGGGTCTACTTCGATCCGGTTCGATGTCGGTTCCAGCCGGCTCGATGCCGATCGCCATGAAACAGACGGGTCTTGAGGGAAGCGAATTTTATGGACGTTTTCGGGCTCCCATGGCCCCACATCCCACATGGGCCCCGGGACAGGCAAAAACCAAGTCAGAATGAAAAGTTGGTGTCAGGAGAGCCTCAGGGTGCAGGGCCTGTGTCCCTCTGGCTCCATGCGAACCGATGATTCGGCATCCGTTGCGGCCCGATGTTCACATGGTGTTATTGTGCATCCTGGCGCGGTCGTTTCGGTTCGAATCCGACTCTGTGCCGATACATCCCGCTCGGATGCGCGTTCTGATTCGATCCCATGTTCCGATTCGATGTTCTGACTGACCCTGCCTGCGAGGATGGACCATCGGGTTTATGAGTACCGTATGATCATGCAGTGATAACCCCGCCGGCAAGTCCAGCGTGGGCGCTCAAGGTCGACCGCCACCAGCGGTCTGGATTCTGCCAACACTGAACGAATTGCTCTGCCGGATAGCGTCATGTTTTCTTGGGTGATCGGTTCGCGCAGGATCAGAGCCCATCGCCAAGGTAGTCACGACATGGACTTCCTGTGCGTTGCCCCTCCGGGGCGGCGCCCTCTCCCGAGGGAGAGTGGCAGATAGGAGGGGATGGGTACGAGCCGCCGCAGCATGGAAGCTGTCGCGGCAGCGGGCTTGCAGCTATCATTTTCCAGATCTAGCACCTCCTCACTACCGGCCAGATGGCCAGCCATCCTCACCGCGGCCGCGGGAAAAAAGGGGAACAAAACCGCTCGCTGCTCTGACGGCCGCTCTGATCCAGGTGCGCCGCCGCGCACAACTGCAGCCGAGCAGTGGGGTTTTGGGCGGGGGAGAGGGAGGACTCCCCCCCCAAAGGTCGCAGGCCTTCTGCGGGTCAGAAGGACGCAGAACCCCCAAAAATCGTCAACACGTATCCTTCAAGCATCGCTTTTCGATCATGTCCCCTCCTCCCTGAAGGGTCAGGGCAGAGTCAAATCGGGTAAACTGCTAGGAGACTTGTGCTCCCACGTATGGCTGGACACCGCCATAACTCCTGGGGGCCGTGACAATGTATTAGCCGACCACGGGCGATAATAAAGTACCCCCCCCCTTGCCCCCTGTATTGTTTTATCCCCGGCCAATAGGATTCAATTGTGGAGGAAGGCGCGGAGGTTGAATTTTTAAAGCAGTTTCCAATGATTCTTGGCAGCAGGTAGTATGTGGTGACATGCTGTGTTCTCAAATAACACTTGTTCGCAAATCCCGTGCAAACAATTATACGAAGTGCACACGCGCTCGCTGTCGCGCGCGCGTGCCGAAATCCCGCAAACACCTACGGTGTCGCATGGCTTTCAACATCGACAGGCAAGAAAACATATATCAACACATTTTTTCGCATCAAAGGTTTTCACAAAAAAAACAGTTGCGCCCGTGCTCTTGCGAATTGTCATGAAAACCACAGGGTTCCCACCATTCGTAAAATGCTACCAACATGCCTCTCGCGCGCGCATGTCCAAGTCGCTTGAAGGTTCATGCGCGCGTGCTGTCGTAAGAATCCCTTGCGACAGATGGGACGACGTGCGCGAGCGCGCGTCGTCGCGCGCGCATGCCAGAATCGTTCAAACAAGCCCCAGGTTTCGTAGGGATTTCAAGAACGAGCTTCCCAACAATAGATCGAAAGACATGGTTTCGCAACATCAGTTTTCAAACAAATCCTGCGCTTGCACTCTTGTGGATTTCTAAACAAAACCAATAAGGCGTCAAACTGTTCATCAAAGTCTAGACGCTTCGCGTAACCCCACCAGCCCATCCAGAAACGATGCCCAGAGGAATTGCCTCGATCAGGGAAGTGGGCAGCACATAGAGGAAGGGTTCCCCAGTGGAGGTTTCTTGGAGCGTCTTAGGGGCCTCTTGGCGGTCCCGGACGCCTCTTAGAACGTTTTGGGGGCCTCGGAGAGGTTCTTGGGGCCTCTTGAGGGTCTTTTTTTTCCTCCCCCAAGCCCCCAGCGGATCCGGCCCAAGGGCTCGCATGCCGCAGACTGCGGCATGCCTCAGGCCTGAATGGCCTGGCCCAGCTGGTTGCCCTCCAGCTCGGACGTCACGCTCACCATGCTAACATAGTTGAACGCCCCCCTCGGCAGCTTCTGGAGCAGCTCCTCAAGCCCCTCGCCGCACTGGCAGGACGGCGCCCTGCTCCATCGGCTTGCCGTTCTGCGGATTCTTACCCGCCAGAATCCTGTCCCGCTTTTTCCTCTTCGCATCGTCCTTGGTGGAGCGCCCACGGGGCGCCAACGGGCCTGGGCAGGCAGCCCCCAGACCCGCCCGACGCCTTGCCGAGTGAGCACCGCACACCACGTACACCACGTACGGGCCATGGACTTCGACACGATGCGGCCTGCCCTGCTCCTCATGCACAGCACGTTCTTCATGTTGTTCTCCAGGCCGTGCTGCTGCTGGTGCTGCTGCGGCTGCGGCAGCCGCTGCGATAGCCACGCTGGCTTCCAGCGAGCTGCTTGTTCCCGCACTGCTCGTGCCCGTTGCCTGCCAGAGTGGTCGTACGCATTCCGCTTGCCACATCTTCAGGCGCATCCGATTGGACGCCGCACGAAAACCACACCTCATGCACACCTGCCAACCGCCCGTCTCCACGACGTCGTGCTCGGTCAGGGCCAGCATCGGCTTCGGCGCTCTTCGCCTCGGCACACCTTTCTCTTTGGGCGGCACGTCTGGCCACGTACCGCCCATCTTTTGGTACCACCAACCAATATTCTGCAGCGCCCAGCGTACTCGCCCTGCGAGGTCCTCCAGCGCCTGGTGCTTGCCGTAGTGTGCATCCAACTCCGCGCCCGCCTTTGCCAACCGGTCGACCTCGCTGGCGCCCTTCGCTATCTTCAGGTCCTCACCCTCAAGCTGCTCGATCCTGCTCTTGGACCTGTGGGCCTTCACGTGCTTCACGCAGTGAATATCAAGGTCCAGGTCATTCACCTTGTGCCAGATCCTTCGCCACAGGTCCGCGTGTGGGCGCTTCCAGCTCGTGCACCACCGCTCTCCTCTCTGCAAGCCTTCCACGATGCCCTTGTGGTCTGTATAGACTCGTCCTGGCGGCAGCATGCGCCCCTGCACCTTGAGGAAGGCCCACATCTCTGCTCTCTTAACCCTCCTGTGGATCGGTAACGAGCACGGCAGCGGGCCCCACATCTGCATCTTCGCGATGCCGTTGTCGTTGAGGGACATCGCTGCCTAGCCCGTCTGCGCCCAGTCGCTGTATCCGAGCTTCGAGCCGTCGCAGACAATGTCGCCTGTGAAGTAGTCTTCCTCACCGTCGACCACTTGTCCGTAGTACTGGTCCTCCTCGATACCCACAAACTTCCAGTCCGCCTCTGGCGACCTCACCAGCCCGCGCGTCCACCGCATGTTGGTATCTTGCTGCTCCGCCACGTGCTGCCAGTCCGCCTGCGCCTGCAACCTCTGGCCCCTGAGCGCTTCGCACTTGTAGTACCGATGGTGCTCGGTGCCCACCGCCTCTCCACAGGCCAAGCAAATGTCCGTGGGCACGATGTTGCACCTGCGCAGCTTCTCCATAGTCCACGCACCTCCGACGAGGACCTTCTTCGCCGCATTTCTCGCGTGCTTCGGGAAATCACGCGCGCGCAGCTGCGCGACCGCTGGCACCAACAACGGCATTGGACTCAGGCTCTTGAACTCCTCCGCCTGCGTCCATTCCTCCCAGAGGGTTGCCTGCACGTCCTTGCGCACCATCGCCGCGATGTCCATGGGGCACACCTCCTGCATGCTCAACACGAAGCCCTCCTTCGAGACGAAGGTGTGCCACGCAGGCCATGTCCACGTAGCCCTCCTTATTGACATGAGGACTGCCCCTGCTGGGCCTCGCACTCGGGCCCGAGCAGGCTTCATGCCAACCTCCTGCTGATGCCGCCCCCATGCCCGCTGCAGCATGGTGGCTATGTTGTCCCATTGACCTCATCCATCCTCGTCGTGCGCGCCATGCCACGCTGCCCGCGCCCACCTCACTATGGGCGCCTCTGTGACCTCGTATGTAGGCTCCTCCTGCGCAACTGCCAGCTGCAAGGTGAGGCTGCGGGCTCCTCGTCCACCTGGTAGAAGTCGCCCTGCCTCTCGCCGTAGCTGTCGTAGCTGATGGTCTGGCATGTCCAAGCACTTGCATCCATACATAACCGAGCGCTTCAGGCCACACTTGTACACCAAGCCAACACCCCTGGTCAATTTTCGCCCGCCCTTTAGAGCGAGCAGCCTACGACTCCTGACCTTCATGATCGCGTGCCTCTTGCCGCTCTTGGCCTTCGCCGCCGCGCCGTGCGCGACGACGCCGACCCCCAAGTATGGACATGCCCTCACCACTGGCAAGCTTCGCTCCTGCATCGGCCCCGTCACGGCCCTTCGCGCCCACTTGGTGCTCGCCATCACTGCGCCTTTGCCCTTGTTGCCCACGGAGAACTTCAAGCCTGGCCTCTCGAAGCCTCGGAAGCAGCTGTCAATCGTCTCTCCGAACTCCGTGACTATGTGCCTATGCTGCTGTCGCAGCCGCACGCACAGGTCGCCCGCGTACATCCTCCAGCGCGCCCTCGGTCTTTCGACCACCAGGCCATCCACCGTGGACTGAGTGACCATCTTCAGGAAGCATACCGAGAACTTGCTACCCGCGATGATGGCGGTGACCGTCTCGGTCTCACTGGGCACCGAGCCGCCTGCGATGAGGCGCCTGGTCATGGCGAAATATGAGCCCACCCCTGCTAGCACCCCTGCGTTGAAATTGAGCTGCTTTCCCGCTTCCCACAACGCGTGCAAGCTGACCTTCTCGAAAGCATTTACCAGGTCCAGTACGGCCGTAACCGTCGCCTGCGTCTCCTCGCTCTGCTCCTCGACATCGTCCATCTCATGGGTGTGCAACACCTCCCAGGCCGCGTCCTCCGCCGCCTTGCCGTAGCTCGTGCAGTCCCAGCTCCGAT